ATAAAGTGCGTCAGAAATAGCAGACTTCGTTGATTAAAACGAAACCGGATACTGCTCCGTCGCTTACCGGAAACGGGCTCGAATAACGGATTAACGAACATGTGCTTTCCTGTGGCCCGGAAATCGGCATCGAGGGCCCCCGCTATTTCGGGAACGATCGGGCTTACCCGGAAGAGGTGACGTGAGACTATCTACTCAATGCATTGTCAATGGCCATCAAAATCAGTACGGAAGGCCTCCTAAAGCCAGTATGATGATATCTACCTACAAATGATGAAATTGCTGTGGTTTACATGTATTCTTAACTCCAGCGCAGAGTTTTGGGCCTCTTTGAACATTATAGCAGAGACCACCACTAGATCTACTCCGGTAGAAAGATATAGGGGGGTGCAGTCGCCCCCCCTGCTAAAGTCACAAAAATAATTATAGATAGATCTCTAGATTTAGACTCTAGCTAGATATATCTAGATTAGATCAGATTCTAGGCCTAGTCTGCGACAGATTTTAGTGCCCCCCCAAAAAAGTATTCCCGGCAGGTGGTCTGCTAATCTTCAATTTTACCCTGATTACAGAGTTTTGAATCTAGTCGGGGATGCATAGAGTTTCGTCTGGATCTAGGTGCGACCAGAATTGAACGCTAGAAAGTAAACAATTGCCTAGCCTACTTGCCAACTTGCAGGATACCCTTTAGTTTTTAGTTTTATTTTACTCCTTGTGTTTTTACAGGTAAGAAGACAAGCAGATCTCTCCAGTCGACTGATTCTCTGTTAGTCTTAGAAACAGTCGAACCTGCCTTAACGGAAACTTGTATAAAACGGAAACCTGTCTTAACGGAATCTCCCCGCTCCTCCCTTGATATATTCCTCTTTAATTACCTGTATAAAATGGAAACCTGTCCAACGCGGAAACGGAAAGAAAAGTCCACTCCCTTGAGGGTTTCACCTGTCTAAGACGGAAAATGCTTTGCCCGCTCAGCCCTGATTTGAAACAAAACTCGCAAGTTTGGTTCTGTCGGCTCAAAACTTAACGCCATGGCCATGCCGCTGGGTGAGGAAGGGGAGCAGGGGTGCAATTTGGGGGTAGATGTTATCCCTTCATGTGAGCCCTGAGCGATGCAGAAGGTCAGGGTAGTGTGGGTGTGAAATCTCACGACTGCCTGTGAGAGTGCTCGAGTAACGAGTCTCTACGGAAACATTCCCGGGTAGCCAGAAGCCAGAGATGTGAAATTAGATTGACCAATGCAAGCCGCCCTGATCGTACGGCCAGCCGAGAAAAGAGTTCCTCGAAAAGTAGTTACATGATGGCAGTGAAGGGTGGCATTGGTTAACTGTGCTTGTTACACCGATGGGTGGGGTTAAGGGTGGAAGCAAAGGAGATGTTCAAACGATTCTGTTTTTAATAGTTAATAGCGGTCCTATGAAAGGCAAGCACTGGTGGTAATTGGATAAAAAAGACTGACGCATGTCATAGCACTAGAGAGGTGTGAAGTTTTGGCCACTGCTTGCTGACCGGACAAACGATCCTTGATCCCACTGGCTGGGCCTTTGAAACCCCCCTCCATCTCCCCTCTAAATTCCCCTGTCTAAGACAGAATATTTTTCTGGCTCCCTTGCGATTCTGTCTTACACAGGTTCGACTGTACTATAATTAACTAAGTGTCAGACTCTAGTAGAATTTACCTATTCCCTTCCGGTGTTTTCTTTTGTAGGCTAGCCTGCGAGACTAAGACCGTGAGATTTTACATAGTCAGGTGACCCGTCTGATTCGCACCCCGCACCTTCTTCTGCTAGATTATCTAGATCTAGATCTCTAGAATCTAAATCTATACACGTCGTCTCATAGCTTTTTTTTTCTTTTTTGGGTAAATGTTTTACTGCGCTCGCAACTGCACAAGGTCATATATGAGCATGCGGGACACATAAAACATTTTTCAGTTAGAAGGAAAATTTGTGAATTTTGCCTGGGTGGCGGCCGAAGCCTACCCTTATCAATTTTGGACCACCAAGGGATCTTTAACTTAAACAGGGGCAACTTGCACTGGGGACCGTCGAGATTTTTTCGCCCTTGTCTGAGAAGGCTAGGTGTAGATCTTTCCTTCCATAAGATCGGGGTGTGGCTGAAAGACAGCAGTAAGAAGGAGCCAAGGAGCAGCAGTAGAAATAGAAAGGCTATAGAAAAGTCAGGAGCCCAGAGGATGGGGCAAAGGAGGTGAGGGGGTGGGGGCAGAAAGTGGAGACGAAAGCATGACAGAACATTGCAAGAGAGCAGAAAAGGAGGTGAAAGGAGACAATTTTCTTAGAGAAGAAAAATTTCCGTTGCTATTTGGATTAGAAACTGGAACCTATTGAAGGCTGGATCCAAAATTTTGTTTCTCATCTTGATGAACTGACATTTCACCAGGCTCGGGGGGGGGGGGGGGGGGGTATTCTTAATGACCTGAAAATTTAGCATTTTACTCATAAAATTCGATTAGGATTTTGGTTATTGTGTTGATTCTTTTGGACTTATGATGTTTTAGTTTTTGACCAAGGATTTGTTAGGGATAATATCCTCAAATTAAAATGAGGGTGCTTGCAATAATTGTTAAACCCTTTGGCAGGAATTCCGCAACGAGCGACCGCTATCAAATAGATCTAGATAGAAGGTAAAAGTTAAGGTTGAGGCTAAGGTTAGGGTTAGGTTTCTTTTTTATAGTGTTTATTGGGTGGTCGTTCGTTATGGAGGTCCTTCCAGCACTTTAACTAAGCCTTTGAGCCCTGACCTCCGGAGGCTATGTGCTTCTGTGCCTGAGCTCCTGAGCGATATATTACTAACGTTAAATTAATTTGATTGTCAGAATCACTTTCCATATCACACTGGTGTACCGGTGGCTGGGCTAGTGGTGGGCACCAATCGATACCAGTACTTACTACTTGTTAAGAACGACCCCCTCAGTAAGTACTTAGATATTTTAGTCGCTTAGTCACTAGGAATCGATACTCAAGTTTTGGAATGTTGGGATACTTTTTTTTTACAAAGTTAAAATGCATTGAAAATGCTGCTGACCGAACAACTATTGTTCGCGAGAATTGCCTTGTTACTGAGACAACTTCTTGGGCCTTCGGCGTATCGCGGTAGGGTGGTCAGTTCCTTTCCACGCCGCCTTCCGCCTTTACTTCCCCAACTCGAAGTCAGGTACCCATTACTGCTGGGTGGGCAGGAGGGGTGAAAAAAATCTGTGTCCGAACCGAGGCTCGAACCCGGATTTTCCACTTCAGAGACGAGCGCACTAACCGCTCCGCCACTGCACCCTCTAAGTACTGAGTACTTATTGATAATGGGCTCTCTCAGTCGATAAAGTACTCGATAATGGCCAGCATCGACTAGTACCCACCCTACTGTGCATACAGGCACTTTTACGCATCACCAGTGTACCGGTAGCTAAGGCTGAAAGGGTTAAAACATGTTTTCATAATTAACTTATGCTTACAAAATCATCAAACACGCAGGATCGCTTACAAAAAGTGTTTGGCAAGAATTGGAGATTAGCTGCATCTAGAATTCAACAGAAATCAAATCAGTAGCACCCCTTTACATTATTCCAAGATTGATTTATGCAAACTTTTGGGACTGAAAACGTTTTTTTATCCATTCATTATAATAATTATAATGTAGCTTATTAAGTGATGAAAATGATTTGATTATTTTATTAAATATTTTGCTTTGCTTTCCACTGTCATTTTTATTACCTCAGGCTGTTCAGCTTTTGTAAGATTTGATTTCATTTGTTGTGGTAGCCGCACCAGATGATTTTTCATCATGAAATGAGAATTGTTGGCATGATTAATTTTCATTCGTGTCTAATGTATTCTGATGTTTCTTTAATGGCTACACAGGGGTGAATAAGATACAGTCAGTATGCCTAAAAAGTTCAAAGGAGAAAATTCGAAAGCTGCCGAAGCCAGGGCTCGGAAAGATGCAGTTCAGAAAGCCGAGAAAGAAAGAGTAGAGAAAGAAAAAGAAGATGCCTTGTGGGCAGATGATGACAAGCACAATGCAAGGAAACTGCAAAGAAAGGTGGGTGCTGAAGTTGCTTTTTGAGATGGAAGTGACATGACTGCCATAAGATGACAAAATGCCTTTTTTTCATTTTGGGGCCAACATTTTTTATTTTTGTTAAATCTAAAACCTAATCAGTTACCCCATTTTTGTGAAAAAATCAAAGTGAAACTACGACTAGTTTTTGAATAGATTAGAATTCAAATTTAGGAATCACTCTATTTTTTAGGCTACGCTGACAAAAAAAACCTCTTTTCCTCGAAACCGCTGTAAAGAAAAAAAGACGTTTTGTCAGCTTACGGCAGATAGTGCCATTCATCTGGTATGCTGAGGAGCTTGCTTGTGTAGCAGTAGCAGTTAGATGCTTTCCTTTTGTGCCAAAATACCTTGTTTGATTCCTGGTTTGAACATTAGTTTTATGGATTGATGACTAATGGTTTTGTCTCAAATTGTTCACACCGTGTTTCCCAGGGTAGAAGTAGATGAGATCAAGTTCATTGTCTTCTTGGATTTGGACTAAAAAAAGGGAGGTCCTGCTTGCCTGTTGCACATTGTTAAAAATACATCAGCAGTTGAAAGATGAAGAAGAGAGCTTGTCTGTTGCTGTGAAGGCTGACTGCTCAAAAGTAAATTTCAAATGAATCCCTTGGATATTTGAATAACATGTGGTCTATACAAAACAAAATTGTACCAATAAAATCAACTATTCTATTAGAGTATGAAAAAAGTCAGATGTTTGGTGTTACAATGAAATCTGTTGGAAGTCACTAGCGTGGCAATCCAAATATGTTAGATGACAGGTTGTTTTCTCAAGACTATCATTTTTCTCAGTGTTAGATAAACATTTGTATTTTTGGCTAATAAAGATGAAAACCATTGAAAAAATTTCAAAATCTCCAAAATTGGCTTAAGATTTAAGAACAGTCGTAATATCATCTATGAAGGGGTTTCCTGTGACTTAAATATCAGATGCACTTTGAGTAAGTGAACCAACAGTTGCCTATTCCTTACATCAAGTTGGAGAATGCAGAAAAAAACAGAAACATTTTCTTGTGCTTTACCTTAAGAGTCATCAGCTATTCTTTTTCTAACATTTATTATAATGAAGTTGCAATAAAGTAATTCCGTAGTCTGCTAAAAAGTCTTATTGGCTTATCACAATACAAATAATGATAAACGTAATGAATACATGCAGTCTAATCTTCTAGAAAACTAAGCTACAAGTGTACAAATATGTTTGTAGTATAGTACAGTTTATTATTTCAATGTTGAGGCTGCGATAACTGATTTTTGAGGGAGTTATGAAAACATTCTTTAAAAATTATGTCACGTAACAGTTGCATAGTTAGGAACCTGTATATGGACTGCATGACACACAAACGGCCACAGGCTGGGGCATTTATTTGGTGCACAGTACAGTAAAAGGAAGTGTATGCTTGGTTCTGTTTAGTTGAGGTAGATGGAAACAAAAAGGAATGAAAGAAAGGTTTTTTTTAAACTAATGGTTATCATATGTTTAAAAAAATTATTTAAAAAAAAATTAACCCAAAATCCCTGAAATTGGCTGAAGATTCAAGAACAGTCATATGAAGGGGTTTACTGTGACTGAAATGTCAGGTGGGCTTAGGGTAAGTGAACTTGCATCCAGTTGGAGAATTCAGAAAAAACGGATAATTTTTTTTATACTTTACTTTAAGAAATGGTTTTACTGTTATGTAATATATGTTTGGAATTATTGCACCTTCAGCGCAGATGTTGTCTTTTTGGACTGTAGTCCTGGCAATCTTTGTTGAAGTCCTTAGAAAGGCATTTAACTTAAGTTGGTTTAGAGAAGTTTTCATAGCTCTTTCCCCTTTTGAATGAACCTGGTCATTCATTTTGTGGGAGGTCCTGCCCTTTGATGACTATTGTTGAAGAGGCCCATGTGCCATACCTTGTTTGAAGTCAGTTTTGTGGTTATTTCTTTAGTAAATTTAACAGAGTTGTGAAAGTTGTACTTATTGTAGCCCGAAAGTCATCTGTGATAATGTTTATAGTTTCATGCGTTTTAAGACATTTCTCACTCTTCTGAATTCCTTTTTTATAACATGATATTTGTATCAGGATGATAAGGAGAAGAAAAGGCTTGAGCAGCTGGAGAGGAAAAAAGAGCTACAACAGTTGCATGAGGAAGAGATGAGCAGCATCAAAGGGGCCAAGGCTCAGGCGGCGAAAGTTTCTCGTGCCCAGATTCTGGAGAATCAGGAGAGAGCTGCAGCAGAGGCAAAAGGTTGGGAATGTTTCTGTATGGTGTAATATTTTTTACCATTCTGAAGTTGAGATTCACTGAAAAATGTCATCTTAGTGAATAAAAGCCCACAAAAATTTCTTAAGGCTTTCCAAACTGAAAAAAAGTTTCTTAAATGCTATACTGCTATACACAGTTCATGGACATTATATAGTTGCAAAACATTTTGTGGCTGACTTTGTTGTCTAAGGTATCTGTATGAACATTAATAGTCTGTTTCCAAGAATAGTTGATTCTTTGTCTTCTTAAGTTCATTTGTGTACAATATATTAGTGGTTGGATGCTTATTCAGTCCTGTTTTTATTTTTCCGTTCATTGTATTTGTTTATTGTACCAATCAGTATTTCATCTGAAGACATGGCTATTGTGTCACTGTGCTTCTTTTCACCTGAAACTTGAATAACATGAGAAAAAAAGAACCTGATGCTGTCAATGATCAAGCTTGTGTATTTTCGGGGGGGGGGGTTTAGGTGATGGTAAAAGTCCACTTCTTTTTAAAGCTCTCTCCTTTTTTTAAAAAAATGGGAAAGTGTTTTACGGCGCTCGCCACTGCATAAGGTCATATGAATGCGCGGGACACATTAAACTTTTTCAGCCCGAGTGACGGCCGAAGCCTACTTTTATTGATTTTAGACCACCAAGGGATCTTTAACGTGCGCAACTTGCATGCAGGCCCTCAGAGATTTTTTGCCCTTGTCCGAGTAGGCTAGGTGGAGATCTTTCCTACCAGAAGATCAAGGGTGTGGCTGAAAGACAGCAGTAAGAAGGAGCCAAGGAGTAGGAGTAGAAAGGCTGCAGAAAGCGTCAGGATCCCAAAGGAGATGAGGGGGTGGGAGCAAACAGAGGAGACGGAAGCAGAAGATAGAACATGGCTGGAGAGCAGGAAATGAGGTGAAGGGAGACAATTTTAGAGAAGAAAATTTTTCGGTCGCTACCTGGATTCGAACCCAGGACCTTTGAATGAGAAGCCAACACCTTAACCTCTAGGCCACGAGAGCCGCCCAAGCTCTCTCCTTATTATGTATAAATGTCCAACAAGTACAGTATCATACAGTCGAGTAATTTAGCATGAGTGTTTTGTGACATTTTTTTAATGGTCTCTCGTAACGTCCTCCTGTTTTTGCTTACTTTTATTAAATGCTCTACTTTTGTCAAATTATCATGTTCCAGCTGAAAAAGCCAAGGAGCAACTGTCACATGATGAGGTGCCTCTGGAAGAGAATGTGAATCTTTTGGTCACAGAAGGAGAGGATGCTCGGACTGTGGATGATGCAATTGCAATGCTCAGGTCAGTTATGGCAAGACATGTTTTGTTATTGGGTTAGTTGCTTGTGATTTTCATCATATCTGTTATCTGGGACCAGGATCCTAGTGCTTGAGGTGGAGAAAGAAAAACAGAACGGCCTGTGACCTAGTGAATTAAAATAACACCCCCCTTCATGTACGGTATGATGGAATGCTTCTCCTTTCATTACAAAAGATGTGAGGTGGAGGCCTTGAAACAGTAGCTACGGGCACTGGTGCATCTAGATCTAGGGTGGAGGTGGGATGGGGGGGGGGGGGACAACACAGCGGGCGAGCCTAGACTAGAACTCTTTCTTTCTGATTGAGATTGCCGTCTTGAACTCCGAGCTGGGATTGTCTGCTGATGCCTGAGGCAAAGAATTTTATTTTCACAGCATGGCGACAGTGACTCGGTCGGTCCGTTTTTCACTCTCACTCTCTTTGGGCGTTCACTTTATCTGATTTCCCCATGAAACCAGTTCATTTTATCCACTATTTATTTACTTAAAAGCAAATAGCGTTTCAATCGAGACCACAGAATATTGTTCACTTTAAACGATTGTTCAAATAAAGCGTGTTGACTTTAGGCGGACTCCACCGTATTTCATTGAGCGTCTCAGAACTTTCTTTTGGAAGTACCCTACACAACTTTGGTTAGTCCTAACAGGAGAGGTTGTAGTTGAAGGAGCCTGCTTCTTTAATTTATCTAAATTGTGTTGATGGGGTTGTACCACCTTACCTCATGTCTTGGTTATCTTTGAATAGAATTATGAGCTCCTGAAGATTTTCTTTTGTGACTTTCTTTTTTCCTTCAGTGTTGCTGAACCCTCCTTGGACAAACACCCAGAAAAACGAGTGAAAGCTGCCTATTCTGAATTTGAAGCATTGCGACTCCCGGTGCTGAAACAGGAGAACCCCAACATGAGGCTGTCTCAGCTCAAGCAGATGCTGAAGAAGGAATGGATGAAGTCTCCGGAGAACCCATTGAACCAGAGACATTCTTCTTACAATTCTAAGTCGTAGCATTTAGCAAATTAAATTCTCCACTTAATTTGCATTTATTTTTACAGGTGAATGTGTTGTTTCCAAACTGTGTTAAAGTTTTGTTATGTTGCTTTTTTTTTTTTTTGAGCTGTCCATACATTGGTCGTGCTCAGGATACTGTTTTTTTTTCCTTCTTAATATTGTAAAACCCTATCTTGAAATAATAATGTAAGGTTGTTCATTAATTTATGAATGTTGCTGCCAGAATGAATGTTAATATTATATTTAGGAAAGAGGGGGGGGGCTGGTGTTTAAAATGGTTAGAGACTTCTATGTTTATTGTTTATCAATAGGGTATTTTTCTATTGTCAAATCTCTATTCTCCTAAAAACCGTTGTAGTCCCTAACACTGCATTACAATAATTACATGTACATGTACATTGCAAGCTACTGTATGATTACATTACATTACAACACCATTCGTTATAATGCTTTGAACTTCAAAAAGGAGAAGGGAAGCTCATTGGGCCTGCCTACAGTTAATTTTTTGCAAAGCCTTGTATTCTTCTGTGCTTTGATATTTGAGCATCATGGGCCTTTGGCTTTTCATTATAAATGACTAGTAAATATTGAATTTATATTAGTAATTACTTCTCAGAGGCATGTTTTATAACACTTGTTGGCTCTTCATATCAATCTGTCTTGTAATCTTCAAATATAAAGTATTATTGCTCTGTATGATTTATAATGATTTCAGATAATATCTGATATGCTGTAATTGTTGCACTACAGGTTAAGGAAAATGAGAGGCATATCCGGTTCATAAGATCACATGGCATTTGAATGGTTCTTCTACTACACCCAGAATAGCTGTGAATAGTGAAATAATTTGGAAAGTTGAATTGCAGAATTGAATGACTACAGCTTTACTGAGGGTTTCTGGTTGGGGGGGGCGCTTATTTAGGATTGTTTTTTTTTAAGGGGAGGGGGTGTGTCTAGGGAGTGTGGCTGTGATTTTCTCTGGATGTCTTCAAGTTAAATCAACTGCTACTTCTTCTCTATCTTTGTACAATACAAGGTTGTCTTGTTTCTATCATCATATTTGTCTCTATCTTGGAGCTGTTACTAGTAAGAGCTCTTAGGTCTCATTTCGCACTCCTTGTTATGTTTAACTTCCCTTTGTACATTGTATAATGACCTTCTGTGGCTGAATGAATAAACTTATGTTGAAGAAACTTTTTTTGAAATATAGAATGCTGTATTACATTGTTTGTGTTATAGTTATCACAAAAAATATGTAGGTGTTTGGCGGGTGCTCTGGTGTGGCTTGCTCATTTCCTATCAAACATCTATCGTCCTTATCTCCCCTTCTTCTTTTTTATGTTTGTTACTCTCCTGTGACCCTTCTTATCTTCTGGCGCTCATTTGACCTTATGCAGTTGCGAGCGCTGTAAAACCTCTACTAAAACTAAAAAAACCAAAAAGTGTATCACATCATAGTCTTTGTCAACAGCAGTTGCAATCATGAACTCCCCCATCTTTTGCTACAGCTGCAATTACTGTATTATTTTGTCTGTATGTGGCGAACAAGGGGTGGCGTGTGTTTTGCCTACTATGGATTACGTTTTCAAAGGAACGGGCCGAGGTTTGGGCTTCTTTTATTTCATGGTCTCGCCTCGAAAATAAAACTTAACACAAAAACCGTCTCTGGGGTTTGAGAACCATAATTTAGTTTAGTTTTTATACTTAACTTAGCTAAGCTTATGTTCAGATACATTTTAACAGAAATTCACAGTTTGTTTAAGCTTAGTTACGCTTTTGTGGCGTTGGTAGTCTAGTAGTTATGCAACCGGACTGATCAAAATGTCATGAAGAAAGTAAATCATTCTCTTCTGAGGTCCAAACCGGGGCTGATCTCAGGTGTTAGACTGCCGGACAGACAGACAGACAGACAGACAGACAGACAGACAGACAGACAGACAGACAGACGGACAGACGGACAGACGGACAGACAGACAGACAGAATCACGTAACGCCTTATGTGAAATAAGAGTTAGGTGTTAAGAGTAGCTACAAATTAAATTCATAGTGTACCGACTTAAGCCCCGGTTACACACAACGATAAAATGTATATCAATGCCTTTCACCCCTGTCATGAGAGATTTTAATGCAAAAGTGGGAACAACAAGACATGAAGACATAGTGGGTCCATATATATGGACTGGAAACCGGAAATGAAAGAGGAGAAAAACTGATAGAATGGGCCATCCTGAATGACATGATTATTGGAAACACTAGGTATGAACAACCACCAAGAAGATTATGGACCTGGAAGAGTCCTGGAGACAGCGCTCGAAACCAGATCGACTATATCATGATCAAGAAAAGATTTAAAAAACGGGATGCTAAATGTCAAAACGCGCCCAGGAGCAGACTGTTACAGTGACCATGTACCTGTAGTGGGAAAATTTAGAATCAGATTGAGAAGAACACACATGATGAGCAAGAACAAGAATATGAAACTAAACATGGCATGACTACAGTCAAAGTCAAAGTCAAACAAAGAATGCAAGATAAATTCAGAATAAATGTACAGAACAAATTCGGCCCCTTAGAAGAAATACAAGACACAGAACACATATGGGAACAGCTTAAAACATCCATAATGAGGCTGCAAAAGACGCCATACCAGAAAGATCAACAAAAGCAAAGAAGAAATGGGTGACTGAAGAAATTCTTAATCTTATGGAGGAACGAAGAACAAAATCAGGAAAAATATGAGAACCTTCATAAAGAAATCAGAAACAAAATGTAATCTAGCAAAAGATATCTGGTTAAAAGAAGAATGTGAGGAAATGGAAAATCATTCCAATGCGAACTCAAAAGATCTGCATAGAAAAATTAAAGAGGTGTGCCGTACAAGAACACGTGGATCAACAGGATGCCTCAAATCAACGGATGGGAATATCAATCATCATGGACAAAGAAGATACTAGAACGTTGGACAGAATATATCGGTGACCTGTACAATGACAAAAGAGATGGACAAAGAAGAGTGGAAAGTAACAACGAGGGCCCACCAATCATGACAGAAGAAGTTATCAAGGCACTACGAAAGATGAAGAATTGGAAAGCTGCAGGACCGGACAACATTACCACAGAGATGATTAGAAGACTTTGGAATCACCACACTGACAAAACTTCTTAACAACATATGACACTGGACATATTCCATCAGACTTGTCAAAATTAATCTATCTTCATAGCTATACCAAGAAGAAACCTAATGCTAACGAATGTGAAACTCATCGTACCATAAGCCCCATGAGCCACATAACAAAAATAGGCTACTACTCGGAATAATTATGATGAGAATACGAAATAAAATTCTCCCAGAAATAGCCCAAGAACAGTGTGGATTTATTGAAGGCAAAGGCACTGTAAATGCCATATATGTCACCAGAACAACAATAGAACGTGCCCTAGAAGTTCAGAAAGATCTTCATTTATGTTTTATAGACTGCACCAAAGCATTCGACAAAGTTAGGCACGACAAGATCATCGACATGCTAGAACTAGAAGTAAAAGTCCTCAATATTGACGGGAAGGACTTAAGGATTATCAAGAACATGTACTGGGATCAAACTGCTGCAATGAGAATAGAAAACGACATCAGCGAATACATACAGATTTAAAGAGGAGTCAGACAGGGATATGTATTTTCTCCAGACTTGTTCTCCCTGTATAGTGAAAATATCATGAGACACATAGAAGAAATGCCAGGTATCTCGATAGGGGGACATAATATAAACAATCTAAGATATGCAGACGACACAGTCCTAATAGTAATAGCAGAAGATGAAGAAGACCTACGTAATCTATTAAATGTCATCGTACAAAAGAGTGACAACATGGGCTTAAGCCTAAACATCAAGAAAACCGAAACAATGGTGATAAGCAGAAAAACTCTAACCCCAACATGCAATATCAAAATCAATTATACCACCCTCAAGCAAGTATAACATTTTAAATATTTGGGGACCATTATATCATCAGATGGGAGGTGTCACACCGAAATTAAAAGCACCATTTGCCAAGCAAAAACAAACTTCCACAAAATGAAACAGATACTCACAAATATCAATCTGTCACTGGAAACGAGAAAAAGAGTACTTAAAAGTTACCTCGAGCCAATCCTACTATACGGGTGCGAAGCACAGACATAGACAATAAATAAACAGCTGGAAAGAACAATTGTGGCGACAGAGTTGTGGTTAATAAGACGCATGCTAGATAGGCCCTATCCCATGGACAGCTAGAAAAACAAATGGAGTGGAGAAGTCTAATTGCTTACAGCAAATTGCAGAAGACAGCTTATGACGAATATAAGAAAGCGACAGGCAAATTTCTTCGGACACACAATGCGAAAAGAAGCATTGGAGAATGTTGTAACTACAGGCAAGTTTGATGGAAAGAGAGGCAGAGGCAGACAGAGGGAAAAGATACTGGGCAAGATGACAACATGGCTAAGAGCAGCCAGAACAACAGACACCATTGCCGCAATGCAAGACCGAGTGAAGTGGAGGTCCATCATCATCATCGCCCACGCCAGTCGAAAAGGCCCCGGATGATGATGATGAGGGTATAGGTCACATACAGTTCCTTCGATTTATCTCTGTCCTGGGCCATCCTTCCAAGCTCGTTCCAAGTGAGCTTCATTTCTCTCATGTCCCTTTCCACGCATCTCCTCCATGTTTCCCGTGTCCTACCCCTGCCTCGGGCTCTTTGTGGGTTCCACTGCAGTGACTGTCTTGTGATGTTTCCGCTGGGCTTTCTTAAGGTGTGCCCATCCATCGCCACTTTTTTGGTCTTGTAGACTTTGACTTGGATGATGGTTGAGGCTTCTGCCCTGCAGCTTCCTTTCGGCTTTCACTGCCTTGCGTCATCATAAACTCTCATTTCGGAGAAGATCCACGATCAGCCAAGCAGAGATAATGGTTGTTTATTGTATGACTGTGTTTCTGTAACAGGCTCTTTTTACGCGAGAGGTTGTTAGCCTCGTGACTCAACCCACGACCTGGAGGGGGGATGACTCTGTTTCGGGAGTCACTACCTGGTTCGCTATTTAGTCGCCTCGTACGACACGCTTGCACCACGTCAGTCCTATTCTTCTCAATGCTGGGACTGCACGGCAGTCCCTTTCCTCACTCATTCTTAGTTTAGTTTAAGTAGAGGTTTAAACGGCGCTCGCAACTGCATAAGGTCATATGAGCACCAGAAGATTAGAGGTGTTACAAGAGAGTAACAAACATAAAAAAGAAGAAAGGGGGATAAGGACGATAGATGTTTGATTGATAGGAAAGAAGGAGTAAACCATCCCAGAGCACCCACCTACCACCCGCTCACTAATTCTGTAAAATCTTTTTCGTCCTCTTCTCCCGCTCACCTTTTGTCCCGATTTAATTGCCTCCTCCCCCTCTCTCTCCTTTATTTCCCTCTTTCTCTCTTTTGTTATTTTTCTTTCTCACATCACTAACCAAACCGAGTTTTCTATTTTCCTCCGCTTTTTTCTGTTAATCAGAATGTTATGAACAGAAGAGTGCGCAGAAAAAAACGACCCCTCCCCCCTTAGTAATTTCCCAAGCCGTGGATCAACAGGATGCCTCAAATCAACGGATGGGAATATC